ACTGAGCCATTGGGAAATACGACGAAAGAGAGGACTGCCTCGGACACGCCCAAATCCTCCAACTTTTTGCGCCAGTAACTATCAGGGGCCGAGTCGTGAGACCAAAAGGCCCACTGCCACGGCAAGAAACGTCTAGAGTTGTTTATCGGATCGGGTGTAATGGTGCCAATGCAACTATTTCGGAGAAACTGAGAGTTTACTCTAGGCTCGAATGGTCGAGCATGCAGCGACAGTGAGATGGAAGGATGATAAACCTCAAGTTGCGACCCACTGGACGGGACCCGACGACACCTTTAAGCCTGGCAAGGCCAAAATTTGAGAACCGTGTAGGGCTCACCGCATTATCGACCTGGATTTCTTACGTTTTCCAACCTGATGCAGTGTGATGGAACGTCAATCAGATGTTCTGACATCACAGTCCTGTCTTTTTCGTCATAGCGTTCTGTTAGGAGTTGTTTGTCAAAGTCTGTCGTTAGTTGTCGTGGAATCGAGGTGAAGAGGAAAATGAAATTTGGAAATAACATGGATTCGTCTGGCTCTATTTAAGATGTTTTATCATCTGTTTGTTAGAAGTTACTGGTGTTGGCTAGCATTTGGCCAAGAATCTCAGACGACAAAACATCAATTTTGTCAAATCATATGTGGAAGTGTCACGTAGGGAGGCATTGGATTTGAGTGGTGCGTTTGTCCTGTGTACCTTCTGCATGCCATAAATAATATTCGTAGTGGAGCCATTGCGTTTCATAAGGTAGCAGCCAAAGGGTGTGACTGATCCTTCAGCCGTCAGCTTTAGCAAATTGTGTTTATTTGGTTCACTAGAATTTTTCTCTCACTGGTATGACAGAGTTTACAAATGTGACAGTCATCTAGTAGGTCCTGATCTTAGTTCTGATAATCCGACTTGTTTAGCACCACTATGGGACTACATTTGTCATATCTTTATCCGTTTTTAGACATTTTAGTGCCTACTATCCTTCTTTGAAATGGGTTTTCGGTTTGTATGCCGTTTGAATAACGAGAAGGTTTAGTGGTGGATCAAGTCTTTCGTATCTCACCGTGTCCTTGTCAGACGAAGTACAAATTCAAAGGCAAAAATGAACTCTCTGGGTGCAGCGTCTGCTGTTTTGAAATTGATTCAGCGTTCGATGGCTGCAGGCCGCGAGCTGTTTGAGTCAGGGTTAAGTTTATGCTTAGATATGAGTCTGGAGTGAGGGTTAGATTTCAGACACGGGAATCGGTACGATTTCTTTGAATTTCGCGCAAGGCCACCTGCGTTACGGAGGTTCCTATTCCTATGACTTACTGTCAGGCATAGCAAATGTTTTAATTTCAGTTATGTTTGCCACTAAGCCATTCACACTTGAATTATGCGATATATGCCAGTATCATGAATACTTAATTTGGTTGTCATCCCAGTGTCGTTAAGACGTCGTATCTGTTAAGTGACGGTACATATCGCTGTAGCGTAATGAGAAACCCAGTCGGTCACGGAGGATTGTACAATACCGAAGCTAAATTCAGAGAATCAGTTAGTGTCAAATGTCTAGGTGGAGAGATGAGATACATTTGCGATTGCAGTTAAGTGCATTAGGACGCAAGCACCTTGTTATGTGCAAGCAGTAAGATACATGGATGTACGCATGTGGTACCTGGAATAAGTAAGACGATATTTGCAGGAACGAATGCTGAACTGTGGACACTTGAACTTGACCGTCAAAAGGGCACCAGAAATAAGATATGGCTACTTTGCTATTTCCTAGATCACTCATTTCCTATCTGATTAATTTGTTTCGATCCTGAGTTCAATTTTCAGCTATAATTCAGTTAATTTTGGATTGGATATTGAAATCAAAATTCAGGAAATTTAGGATGATTTCCAAGGACTTGCGGTCTTTTCTGTTTTTATTTGGGCGTTTGGGAGGATGATTAAGAGTTCTCTTATTCATTAAATATTTTGTCATGTCCACGGCTGCAAAAGATTGATCCCTCTCAGAGTGTTGACGGAAGCTTCGTCTTTTGTGGGTGGGTCCTGAATTCGACTGCCCTGACAAAACGGAGTCCTTAATTTTGTGCTTCGTTTGACATTTGTTCTCCCTGCACACTTATGATTGAAAATGAAAGAAGCCAGTTCCTACTAGGGCTCTTTCATATGCTCCGCATTCACCAAGTAATTCCCATGCAAGACCACATATTTATTTAACGGTTTTCTCACGCACAGAGAAGTTCGTTTGTGATATTAGGTTTAGTATCATATTACCTTCCGCCATCTGAAAGTACTGAACCATACGATAGGCTGAACATACGTTGTGTTGCTAAATAAATTTCAGGAAAATATTCCACTATGTGAAGAGGAAACTTCGTTTCAGCTGTAAAGTCTTTATTTTTCGACAAATTGAGCCACATCAAGGATAAATTGTTTGCAATATAACATTTTATAAGCGTGTTCTATGAAAACCATGATGCCTTGGAAACAAAAGCTGATGACGTATTTTGACAGCTTGAGTTTACAAAAGCTTACGTCAAAAGTTCAGACTTTTAACGCGGGCGATCAAAATCCTTAAATGGGTTACGTAAATGGGTTAAGTTCGATTAATCACACATCAGTATGGAAGTTAGATCCAAAATGTTTTGAATGAGTCAGCGGCATATTTTTACAAAAAGTGTAATTAAAGGAAAAAGGCTTAGCAAATACCTTAAAAATTTGCCTCGAGCTCTAACAGGCAGACCGAGGTAGCATTTGACCCATTTTATTAACATCGCCGGCTCATTGATGGACAGCCCACTAGACGAGATTCTTCCTACCCCTAAATTATAATTAGACTCAGATTTAACGTCAAATGGACTTTTTCGGGCCAGAATGTCTAAATAAGCTATTCCCAATTCTTAGCTATAAAGCTGCGGAGCTACACATTTCTCCGAAGTTACCGTTAGTCTAGTCAGGATGGATTTTCCAAACAAACTCTCGAGTTACGCAATACACGTTGGCATGCTAACTTTTGAGCGAACAACGTTACTGATAATTATGGAAATTGCACTGGGAAAAATAACCTACGTGGTGGGTATACTTAATTAGACTTCATTGGCCCGTCTGAAAGCAGTCACATTCCGTAGACCTCTATAAGATAGCGGAATTATTTTGCCCATTAAAAGAAGAGTTATGTAATTTAGGAAACATTTGGCTTTCAAGTTAGTTGCAATAATGAAGACGTTTGAGACGCCAGCATAATTTCAATTGCGTGACTTGGTATAACAATGCTTACNATTAGCAGTTAGTGGGAATGTTTAATATGTTGATTGTCTTTACTTCCGATAGGTATGCCATTCGAATCTTTCACGTTACCATTAGTTCAATGGATCTTTATGGTGTACGTCAGACTGTCGGATTTAATTTCGTTTTGGGAATCCTCGTCGGACCAAAACGGTGGTCAGATTACATCACGTCACGCTTTAACTAGGCTGCGCAGAGTCCGCGCACTCAATTTCAAGTGCCCCACATGGGATGTGGGGACACTTCTAAGCGCAGGCCCACGTCGCGCCGGCCATTTGCACCCAATCCCCGCACCACGTGCTGACCGGCTCAGACAGTGGACTAGTGCCTACGAGAGATAAGATGGACTGAGGTCGGCACTGTGAAATTCCTTCTCAGACATTTTCAACAATATCCTAGATAAAAAAATCTAATGCGCTTTGAAACTATAACGATGCACTAACAGTCGTGGTTTTGAAGGCTACCAACTGACGGAATAACTGAGCCCCCCTCAGGAGGGAGAGTCAGGCTACAATAGCTCCTTCTGAATGTGGTCTCCGCGGCGCTCCCACTCGGACGGGTTCCGAAGCCGACCGCTTCTTGTTTCTGTGAAAGCCTCGTGCGTCGTCTGCTGCACGCTTATACGGGCATTTGACGTTGTCCGTTACTGCGTTTGATTCTGCATCCGGTCGTCCTGACTCTGCCTTGGCATCGAGCCCAGATGGGTGAGAGATGAGAAAGTACGGCAAACGCAACCGATTTATGCGGAACGGATCTCTTACGGCGTTCATAAGCCGATATTCACGTGATCGACCCTGGAGAACCCACTCAGAAAAAGCAGCTAACGGAAGTATGCAATCATTCCACCGTCAGACAAAATGTAATTAAAAGGTGTCCGGAAAAATGCATACCTGTCAAATTTTTAGCACTCTCCGGTCATGTTCGTTAAAGATATGGGAAATTTTGGTTTGCAATTAACTTGCAAGTTTGGCGTTGTAGCTCTTCCAGTTATTTTCCAGGTAGTACATTTCTTTCGCCCATGTCTTCTAATTCTGTCTCGAACTGTATCAAACCACTTATTTTCTTCTCAGAAAACAAAGGGTTGTGAAATTAAATTACATGAAGTAATTAAGTGATAATATTTCATCTAGTACAAACCTCGTAATTCTTTAGCTGAAAAAGAAATATTTCTTCCCTAATCGCAGTGTTTTGTTATCTAACGTTCATGCTCGAAGAAACGGTATCTTCCGACTTTGAAAAAAGCTTTAATTATGGGAGTTTTAAGGCTGTGCAAAGTTCATTCAAATCACATTGCATCTGACTGTTCAGTGATCTTCTTCACAAAGTTTGTAAGAGTCCAAGTCCGCTGCCAAATTTCATGAGTTCGATAGAGCATCTACTTGATGAAATAGAGGAGTGAATCTTTTTCATTACGCGAAAGGTATGCAGTTAGTAGACTAAAAACTCTAAATCTAAATGCAACGGCGGATCGAGATCAAAATTACTTCGGATTCGACACGTTTTTAAAGTCGAGAGATCCAGTTTCTTCGAGCATGAAACTCGAAGAAAACGTGACTTGCTATCAAATGAATATACAAAAGAATATGCTTATGCATAATTTTCCCAAGATATACTTGAATCAATGGGTGCATCGGAAATGGATAAAATTGCACACTATTTAAGCTGTCTTTTTCTCCAGTGGAGACAGTGGAGGCGAGTGCGGTGGGTGTAGGTTGGTGTCACTGACACTGGTTCACCTGGATTCGCAAGTGACCGACCAGGCCGACGTGTGAGGTGAAGGTGCGGTCGCGGTGAGGGCAGGTGTAGTCCTGGTCCTCACCCCTGGAGTCGGAGGTTGGAGGGATGGTGTCTGTTGTTGTGTCATGGATGTGTGTGATGTTGGTGTGAGTGACGGCCACCAGAGCGGCCGTGGTTGGTGCAGTGGGGCAGGAGGAGGAGGAGCCGGAGGAAGAGGAGGGGGAGGAAGAGCAGGGGAGGGGGAGGAGGGATAGGAGGAGGATGGGGAAAAGGAGGAGGAGGATGGAAGTGGTAATTCAGAAGAATTGTCAGAGTTAGTTAGAGGCGGAGAGGACGAGGAAGATGCAGGCGGAGGGACGGCGGTTTGTGTGATATGGGAGATGCAGTTGGTCCGAAGGTGTCCAATGAGTCCAGTTCGTGCCCGGAATGTCCGTTGACACCGAGGACACGTTGGAAGCGGTTGTGCGTCGGCGTTGCGGACGGGGCGTAGCTGTGATTTGCGTGCTTCGCGTTTCGCTTTGGCAGCGGCGATTCGGTTGGCCTCATAGATCGCAGCGCCTGTCTTCACTTTCCTCCTGCAGGTCGGTCGGTCGAGGGCGAGCTCTTCCCAGTCGGTCGGGTTAATTTGCAGATGCTTCAGGGAGGACTTCAGAGTATCCTTGTATCGACGAATGTGGCCTCCTTGGCGGAGAGAACCCGTGGCGACTTCGCCGTAGAAGAGTCGTTTGGGTAGTTGCTCGTCGTCCATGCGCACCAGATGGTCGCTCCAGCGCAACTGCATTTGTCTCAGCATGGTGTAAATGCTGAGGATTCCCGTCCGTTCCAGCACATCAGTGTCGGGGATTCAATCCTGCCAGTTCAGCCTCAGGATGCGACGTCGCATGCCTTACTTTAACCTCTCGAGAACCGACCTATAAAACCAGAACATGGGAAAGGGGCAATTTTTAATTCTTCCGCGTAAGCATACTGTGCCTTTCAAGTTATTGACAGCGGCACGTTTGCTACAGTTCCTTGGCAAAATTCTTCCGTCATTGTCAGGTTATGTTTTTAAACATTTCCCATTCCTGAACGCTTCGCAGACGTTCGTAAAGTGTTGTGTAGGTGCTTTTGTGCCTTATTCGAAAGAACTAACTGCATAACTAACTTTAAACTATCAAAGCTATTCGGTAGGATATTTAATCTCTGATTTTTTGTTCCAAATGCTTTAGCAGATACCGCTTTCAGGCATTTAAAACGGCAGCACATCTGTTATAAGGCATTTGAACAAAGTTGCCATATTTAAATAATGATATTTGATCGGAGCGTCGATATTACTGCCTTTACTGCAGTAAAGATGGGTTGTTGTATTCTAAAAAGTAATATTCGCAGAAAGCGTTGCTACTGGTAGTCACGTTTTACATGAAATAACTCATGGTGAGCATGCAGGAAATGATTTGAAGGCTTTAAATGAGATGATAAACTAGAAAACGTGAACAAGGAAAAGTCGACGAAACATGCAGAATTTATTGACATCATAAAATTTCATATTTATAAGACAAGATAAGCTGTTCAATTAGTGACCGGCCTAGTGGGATTAAACAGGATCGGTAAATAAAACATGGATTGCTGGTCTGATATACGGGTGCGCATGGCGAGAGGAAAGGGGAGGGAAGTTATCTGAGCAAGCAAGTTTACATTACGATTAACACCTGTCAGGTGTGAGGTGATGAAATGTAATGACGTCAACAAATTCTGCATGTTTCGTTGCCCTTTCACTGTTCAAATTTCTTTCGGGAAAGCGATGCTTCAAAATAGAAAGCGTTCAGGACAGCCGGAAAGATCTGAAGAGGAAGAATTGGGCAAGCTACTCAACCACGATCCATGAAAAAATCTGAAAGAAGTGTCAGAAGTATTATACGATAAAAGCTTCACAGATGGCAACTACTTACATGCACTGAGAATGGTACGAAAGCAAAACGCTTAGGTGCTGCATGTACAGAACAAAAAACAGCATGAAAACCTTAAAATCACATGTGGAATATTAATTTCAAGACACTTGTTTTTGCAAAGGAGAGGAACACACGATCTCTGAGACAGTATGAAAAATGGATTAAAAGTGGATTTGTTACAACTGTCGCAAACGTAAAAACCCCGGACGATTCCTAGCCATGAGCGCAAAGCAGAATAGTTGTGGCGACAAAATTATGCTTTGGATCCGGATGAACTAAAAAGCAGGGGGGTACTATGATTTGCTGTATTCATCTAAACTCTATAATGCCTAACGATATCAATACAAATTAGTCCGCTTGAGTCAAGCACCAATCATAAAAGGACAAAACACGATGAAAGATATGATAAGGTGATTTTGATTTTAGAAGTATTTTGCTGGGAGGTTCTGCCACCCTACCGCACCAATCAAACATAACTCCATCAGATCATCATTTGTTTCAACAATTCAATGTAACCTTGTTGAGACGCTCGAAATCGACTCGATCAATGGCCTGCTTCAAAAGATCAACAATTTTTCTAACTTTAGATCCGTTTGCTGCCTGAAAGGTGGAAACAGGTTACAGATGCCAGCGGACAATATTATGAATGAAATGTAATGCATAGATACTTTTAAGTAATCGTTAGTCTCTTCCATGGAATGACACGAGATAACTCCCATTCCCAATGCGTCAGAGAGGATGCTTCTTAGTGCCTTCGGACAACGTAATTCGTGTCGGTTTATAAATCATAACCCCAGTAATTAATGCTCATAATAACGTCTGAATGATCCGCCCGTTCGCGATTGCCGGGAGCTATTTTTGGCCGAATTGTTTACTAGCTTACCACTTCGTTCTCATTGTTCGGATGAAGACTGCCGGGGCTGTGAAAAATAGCGCACTGCGCAGGTTCAGGCTAACAATATGCCGTCTGGTCTGTAGGAGGATTTACGGAAACCAAATTCGGTCAAGCTGGGAACCTGAGCTTGATGACCGTCGTACTTTCACGGAAAACCAAGCCTGACACGAAGGCGCTGCAGCCATGCAATGTAAATGCCATTTTAAAGGGGGTACCCTGGTCCAGATAGATTGATATTCATGACTAGAAGGAAAATATGACCAGAGGATACACGCGCTTTAGCAAGACCAAATGTCTCCATTTACTCATTCAGTAAGCTTGCTAAGCAAACATAAACATCGTTTTATATAATCGTGACAGTTAGAGTGAATTATACTTAGCGAACTAAAATCAAACAAATGACGGTCTGTAATATCAGACAGAAGGTATGAGGTTTTTAAGGTGATGGTAAAAATTTTCAAAAAGGCCACCTCTTTAGAGGAAAAATAGTAATAAATCGTATTATCGCACATTTGTTACTTATACGAACAGGCAAACCACTAACGAAAGGAAACTCTAGGACAAAATACATAACAAAAGATCCCAGACGATATCACAGCCCCGAATCGACAAACCTATCGGGCGATCCGTACACGAGAATCAATTAGAAATCCAGACGCGATCCAGCGCGCGCCATCACTGGAAAATCAGCAAATGCACGATACGCCAACTCTTAGTCAAACGAATATAACATCTTAGAAGAAAAAAATTGGCTCTCCGGAACAGGTTTATTTAACTGCTGACGTTTCAAAGAGCTGGGTCGGATCTTCATTGTCAAAGCGTAAACTGCACCTAATCGATCAGAATTTTAGTTTTAAGTGGCAAGTTGTGTTGGCCGGCCTCATGCTGATCGATTTTTTTCCTCTCCTCCAGCTGCGTCGGCCTCTGAGGAGATGGTTGACGGGCGTTTTTGCCACCCGCTGAAACCTCAGCAGTCATCTACAAAATAAATTGCAATGAGGGCGACTGCAACTATGTGGGCGAAACTGGACGGAAACTGCAAACTCGCCTACAAGAACATAAATCGGCCACTCAGAGGTTAGACCCTAAGACGGGTGCCAAATACGCCGCCGCAGGTCTTCCATCACGGCTACCTTACGTACTACTGTTTGTTCAGTAGGTGTGCTTGTGGTATTTTTTTTGCCGCCGCGGCAAAAAAAAATACCACAAGCACACCTACTGAACAAACAGTAGTACGTAAGGTAGCCGTGATGGAAGACCTGCGGCCTACACGGTAAGAAAAACCCTTAAACACACTTACTGAATAGGCTCCGTAGGATTTATGTGGACTTCCCATCCTCTATTGCCTAAAGTTCATGTCCAATATACAATGCCACTTTTATACCCTTACACACACAAACTTCTCCCTTCCTAAACCACCCCTGGGCAGTCCGCATGCGCGGTCGTTGCGCTGTTAACTGCAGGGTTGTCGGTTTTGTGGTTTACGTGCAGTTTCCCGCCATCCCCTGTCGGTTTCCCGTCATGGTCGACTTGCCTCCCCTCCCACGCATTCCGGAGTCCATCTAATTGAGGTGCCAGCATTCCCCTTTCGTCAGTAAGACTACCACTTACGTCAGCTGCTTGCTAACGTTTTCAGTTCGGCATCCATTTCCGGGCGTGTACATGAACCTCCGTC